TCTGACGAAGGAAGAGGCACTCACGAAGCACCTTTTTGTGTTTTTTTTTAAAAGGAAACGTGCAGCGGACGCCTTCCGATGTTTAGCCTCGGATCTATTCACCCCGCACCGGACTCAGAGACGAAGAAAGTCCCCATCGTCTAGCGGAGGCTCCCCTAATTTTCCTGCAAGGCCACGGGACCTTCCCCGCACTTTGCACGCATCGCCGCCGCCGCCGCCGCAGCCTCGGCTTCTGCCGCGCGCCTTTCAGCATCCGAGCTCCCTCGGCTGGCGGGAAAAGGAAAGGGCGGTCTAGCCAGCCGCTCTCTATCGTCTGGGCTCCTTGGCGAGGTGCTAAGGCTCGGGAGCGCGCGCGGGAAATTAGCGCGGGAGCCGTTCGCAGCTGCTCCCCTCAGGCGCCGCAGCCCCGAAGAGGCCCCCGAGCCCCGTTTCTCCCCTCCTGGGAAGCGGGAAATGGGGGGGTGATTTGAGGGAGACAACTCGGCTTGTCTCTTGGGCTTGTTTCCTCAGAAAAACCCCATGGAGACCGAGAGGTCTCCGGGGATGGGAGCAGCCGAAGTCCCCGCCGCCCTTCAGGAGGGGAGCGGAGGGGGCTCCTGGGGGAGAAGCCGCCCGGAAGGTCTACCCGAGGCCGCCCTCAGCCCAGAGATCCACCGGCGGCGCTTCCGCGGTCTGGACGGCTGCCGCCAGGAGGCCGAGGGGCCCCGGGAGCTTTGCAGCCGCCTGCACCGCCTGTGCCGCCAGTGGCTGCGGCCGGAGAGGAGCAGCAAAGGGGAGATGCTGGACCTGGTGGTGCTGGAGCAGCTGCTGGCCCTGCTGCCCGCGGAGATGGCGAGCTGGGTGAGGGAGTGCGGAGCCGAGAGCTGTTCGCAGGCGGTGGCCCTGGCCGAAGGCTTCCTCCTCAGCCAAGCCCAGCGGGAAGAGCCGGGAAAGGGGCAGGTGAGGAGGGCGGGGGGCTTCGTCCTGGGAGATCCATTGGGGTGTGTGTGAGGATCAGGGATCTTGCAGTGTCTTCAAGAAGTCAAAGAGATTAAGAACATGTCTATGCAACCTTTCAGGAATTCCTCACGTTTGGAGAACTGATTTCTTTTCGAGGCAAATGCTTCTATGTCCTTTTGGAAATAATTCTGTGGGAGAAAAGAAAAAATCAATCCTTTTTCATCCACCCACGGTTCTGAGGGATGTAAGAGGTCGCTGAATTTGAGGAAGTGGCCACAATTCCTTGTCCAGCCTCTCTTTCTTCTTGTAATATATCTCAGTACTGCAAAGGAGAGTATTTTGGATTAAGATATGGTGGAATATTCAAAATATCTTTAAGAAACAGATAAAGTTTAAGCCGCAGATATTTTTGCTGGGTATTATGGAAGATTTGGATACAAAAGAAATGGATTTGATGTTGAATTTGATAACTGCTGCAAGACTACTAGTAGCTCAATGTTGGAAAACGGAACGTTTGCCCACTATAGAAGAATGGTCACTTAAAGTCTCAAATTTAGCAGAAATGGCCAAGATTTCTGCTTATGTGAAGGATTATTCACAAGAAAGATATATCTCGGTTTGGAGAAGATGGATAGATTATATTGAGAGTAAATATGGTACTAAAAAAATTCATTTGGTTTTTGAGTAAATTTTAGAGTATTAATGTAGTTTATATGTTATAATGGGTTACTTATTTTTATTTATAATTATTCATATGATGTTATAGTTATTGTGTTTAATATTAGTATATTTCAGTGGTTCTCAACCTGTGGGTCGGGACCCCATTTGGGGTCGATCGACCATTTCACGGGGGTCGCCAAGCAAGGCTGTCCGCCATTTTTTTGTCCGCCATTTTTTTTGTCCGCCATTTTTTTCCCCTTTTCCAGCGGGTGCCTTACCTCCCTTGGGCTGGGCCAGCTGGTGGTCGGCCTGCTCCGTCTCTGCCGCTTGCCAGCTACGCCTCGGCCAGCGCAGGGGGCGGAACCATGCATGCGCGGCGCTCCTGGGCAGGGAAAGTCCTCGACTTACGACCGGTTGGGTACTCCTGGACTTACGACCGGCTTAGTCCTCGACTTACGAATGGTTTAGTCCTCGACTTACGACCGGTTGGGGTCGCGGCATTAAAAAGGTTGAGAACCACTGGTATATTTGTTTAAAAGAGTTAAAGGATGTTATAGATTTGTTAATCTAATAGTTGATTAATGTTAGATAGAGTATGGTTATTGTATTGTTAACCCTGTGATTGGCTCTGGGAAGTGGGGGGGGAGGGAGGGGAAGGGTGGGTTCCGGGGAGAGGGGGGGAATTACATTGTAAAACTTTAATAAAATTTTCAATTAAAAAAAAACCACAGACCTCTATTTTGCAGAAAGCTAGGGTGCAACACAGGTTTTTGGAGAAGGCTTTTTAAAGGGTGCCATGAACAGCTGCTCCTAATTAGGCAATAGTTATCACAAATCTGCTTTTTATTCTAAGCAGAGCACCCCTTGTAGATAGGATAGTCCTCTATAAAAAATGTTTGCAATAGGAAAAAAAACCTAAGCTGAATACAGTGATCACTAGGCTCCCTTCCAGCAGATGGCAGGAGAGAACCTGGAGGAAACCCATTTTGCAGATTAGATACACAGATTACCTGTAATTATCATTAGTGTTTGAAGGAGAAGATAAGAGAAAGATAAAAGGAGTAATGCAATTATCCACACCCTTTCCTCTGAAAGGGTTTGCTCAACTATTAAAGAGCTTTCTCTTCCCTTATACACCTCCCTAATGATATCCACATGTAGTGTACTTCAATGTTTACATTCTGACCTTCTAGCCAAATTAGGACAAACATTTGTATTATGTGAACTGCCCATCTGTTCATTATTTACCCCAAAACATTGGCCAGTTCAGAGCAGAGTCCCTGAGTTCTTCATTTTGATGGATTGGAGAAGTACAGATAGAGAAGCAAAAGGAAAGGTAAGTGAACTAACATGGTTATGATCCTTCCAAAATGGATCGTAAACCAGGCTGTTCTGACAGGTACAGGAGCCAATCACGAGGAAATTCTCAGCAGAGCTCCAAGGAAGAGGAGATCGATCCAGCCTTTCTCAGGAGCTGCTTTTCAGAAGGATTCAACTTGGGCCACCTTGCCAGGTAAGTGCAGGTTTCTTCCGAGAGCAGTAGAGTTCCAGCTCCATCCATTCACAAGCTGCCTTTATCACCAAATGCTGGGTCTGTGTGCATCTGAACACAGCATCCCCCAAGAAGGTCCTGCTGAGTCACACATTCGGCTTTCAAAATTGTTCTGGAGAGGCAAATGCTGAGAAACCTGTGTTAAAAAATGTAATTTATATTTTGGAAGAGTTTAGTACTTCTTAATACTTTTCAGAAGAATGCTGAAATCTAGTTAGAAATGAAATCACCAAATTGAAACAATGGGAATAAGATTGAGAAATGGTTCAAAAATATGCTAGCATATCTACTTAAAAATGATTCATATGAAGAACAAACCTCTAATTCAACACTAAGTGGCTCCAACAATAATACATGTTACAGCTTTTTGAAGAGTGTTGAAAACTAGTTCAAAAATGAAAGTAATGATTTCAAACAACAGGAATAGGATAAAAAAAGCATATATAAAAATGCATTACAGAAAGGAGAGACCCCTAAATCCGTGCTAAGTTGCTGCAATAATAAGATTGTTGGTCAAATGACTTGGGATTTCCAGGCTCATTGTCAACATTTTGAAATAGGTTAGGAAAGAAATTCCCAGTGGATGTGTCCTGTTTTCTCAGGAACTTGGTCAGCGAGGCATGTGAGCCTAGGGGAGTCTTCTCCCCGAAACCTCCTTGCTAGGTTATTTTAGTCCAGTGGAAAGCTCCCCAATGGTGTCTGTTTTAGCATTCTACAACCTATATGCACCTAAGCCATGATTTGTGCAGCTACTGCTTCCCAGCCCTAAGGACTCTGTTGACATGCAGACATAAATCTGTCCTGCTAGAAAATGCCCATTGGTCTATTGCAAACCTGTTCTCTGTAATAAGAGAGAAAACGTAGAAGTCTTTCCTGGTATTGCCTGCTAAAGAAAGTTTTATTTCTCTTTCTAGGGATCCAGTCCCTTTGAGGAGGTGGCTGTGAACTTCACAGAGGAGGAGTGGAGTCTGCTGGATTCTGGCCAGAAGGCCTTATGTAGGGAAGTCATCGAGGAGATTTCTACGGATATGGATGCTCTGGGTAAGGCCAAGCTTTGCTCTGGGTTCCCTTCATTTTTTCAGTGGAAAGAGAACAGGGAAGTTGTTTGCACTTAGTTGCATCTTTACAAGGCAGTGCAGAAATACTCAGCATCGATTTGGGAAATGTTTAGATGCTTCATGGAAAGGATTGGGCAGACTGACGGATCAACATCAAAGCTTTAATATGTTTCTCAGTTGAAAAATTATTTGTATACCATCAGAGTCTCCTAAATAACAATTTGCAGCTATCACATCCTAGCCAAATGTGGGTGGTGCCAAATCTGGAATGCAAATTGGCATGTTTGTTAGTGAGGGAAGACAATATTATCCTTTGCCATTCTATATTCTAACCCAAATATTTATTTTCTTTTTTCCAAGACGATGATGGGCAGGACAAAGAGAATGACAAGAAAGCTAGGTTGAAGCCACTTGAAATAGAGACACATGATATACAGGAAGTAATGTGTGACCGTCAAGGGGACATAAAAAGGCAAGAGAGAAACCACACAGAAGGAGGGGTGAGGTCATCCACTTTGCTTCCTATTGGAATCCATGGCTTCCTGTCCCAGCAAGTTGAGAAAGTAAAGAGAAAGGGACAAGATGGGGAAAAAGAGAAAAATCAATTTGATACATATGACTATGACAGAAACCAGACTAAAGGAAAACTCTATGAGTCTCAACAGTATGGAAAATATGTCAAAAATTCCTTTGCCCTTACTTTACCTAAGAAAGTCTATAAGAATCACAAATCACAGACCTCTATAAAATCTGGCAGGGGTTCCAGTCGGAGCAGAGAGATGGTACTGAGCATGAAGTGTAGAAAGAGTATTGGTAGCAAGAGTAAACTTAATCTCCATCAGAGAATCCCCACCGGGGAGAGACCACATAAATGTCGACAGTGCGGAAAAAACTTTACTCGGAAAGGATATCTTAATTACCATAAGAGGATCCACATAGGTGATAGACCTTATAAATGCCTGGAGTGTGGGAAGAGCTTTACTCAGAAAGGAGATCTTAATTCTCATAAAAAGGCCCACACAGGAGAAAGACCATATAAATGCACAGAGTGTGGAAAGAGCTTTGTTTACAACAGAAACTTTATTTTTCATCAAAGGATCCACACAGGGAAGAGACCATACAAATGCCTGGAATGTGGGAAGAGTTTTTTTAGCAAAACATGCCTTACTCGGCACCAAAGGATACACACTGGGGAGAAGCCACATAAATGTCTGGAGTGTGGAAAGAGCTTTACTCAGAAAGGACATCTTAATGCTCATAAAACATTACACACTGGGGACAAACCATATAAATGCCTGAAGTGTGAAAAGAGCTTTACTCGAAAAGAAAGTCTTAAATTTCACGAAAGGAATCACACTGGGGAGAGACCGTATAAATGCTTGGAATGTGGAAAGAGTTTTACCCAGAAAGGACATCTTAATTCTCATGAAAAGATCCACACAGGAGAGAGACCATGTAGATGCCAGGAATGTGGAAAGAACTTCAGTGACAAAAGTAGACTTAATCGCCACCAAAAGATCCACACAGTGGATAATCCATATAAATGCCTGGAGTGTGGAAAGAATTTCAATAGCAAGAGTAAGCTTAGTGTCCACCAAAGGATCCACACTGGGGAGGAACCACATAAATGCTTGGAGTGTGGAAAGAACTTCAGTGACAAAAGTACTCTTAATCGCCACCAAAGGATCCACACACTGGATAACCCCTATAAATGCTTGGAGTGTGAAAAAAGCTTTACTCGAAAAGAAAGTCTTAATTCTCACAAAAGGAGCCACACTGGGGAGAGACCATATAAATGCCTGGAATGTGGAATGAACTTTTTCCGGAAGGGAAATCTTAATTCTCATAAAAGGATCCACACTGGGGAGAGAACACATAACTGTAGGGAATGTGGAAAGAGCTTTACTCGGAAAGTGTATCTTACTTATCATGAAGGGATCCATACAGGAAAGAGACCCTAGAGAAGAGACAGGGCAGCCAAAAGAGCAGAGATTGGGTGGGGATAAAAAGGTGGGGTCAATGGAAGAGGAGGTTTGGGACAAGGGGGAATCAAGCCCAGAATTGCTTGGATTTAGGGCGATCCTTGCCTAACTTGACCGGCAGAATTGTTCCTCCTCTCCCCTGTTTCTGGAGTTTGGCACCCCAAACTCCATTGCTCAGCTTCTCCGCCTGTTCTTCCTTCTACCAGTGGGGACTTCACAGGGCAGGCAAGAGGTGAGTTGAGCCCCCGGAGGTATCCCTTCTGCACCGCCTTGCAAGGCTGCTCCGTGTGCAGAAGGCGAATCCAGCGCTAGCAGGGAGACTTGGGGCGCCGAGAGCGAGGCGGTGCGCGGGGAAGAAGGGGATCCACTGCCCAGCCACTTTCAACTTGAATGGCCAGGAGGGACGTTGCGAGTCTAGATCATGAGGGCTGCAGCTGGTTGGAGCTGAATCTCTGGAGTTTCCCTGCCTCTCTTTCGCTGCCTGAGCTGTCCTGGCCAGGTGCTCCCTGTCCCTTGCTCTCCTTTGCTCCCTTTCTCCCTGTCCTTCTCTGAAAATGCATGGAATGGTCAGTGGGAGCGGGTGTGGATCTCTGGAAGATCGTGTAGTACCAAACCAGATAGATTCAGCTGCAGCAAGCCTTGGGAGGTGTGATGGTGGTAGCTATTTTCTGGCACCTGCTGGCCATGCTGTGACCATAAGCCCCGTCCTAACCAGCGAGCATTGATTGCTCCCTCTGGTTCAAACAGGTGTTGAGGATGCTATCCCCATCCTTTTTCTGTTGCTACCTTCGGATTTTCTATTCAGGTAGTCCTTATCTTAAAACAGTTCGTTTAGTGATCTTCCTTAAGTTACAACGGCAATGAAAAAGTGACATGACCGTTTTTCACACAATCTTTGCAGCATCCCCATGGTCACATGATCAAAATTCAGATGCCTGGCAACTGACTCATATTTATGACGACTGCAGTATCCAGGGGTCACGTGATCCCCTTTTGCCACCTTCTGACAAGCAAAGTCAATGGGGAAGCCAGGTTCACTCGACAACCGTGTTGCCAATTCAACACCCTGCGGTGATCCATTTAACAAATGTGGCAAGAAAAGTCGTAAAAACGGGACAAAAATCACTTAACAAATTTCTCACTTAACAACATAAAATTCTGGGCTCAATTGTGATTAAGTC